CAAGTTAGTAGGAAGATAGACAAGGATAGAAAGACAGACAGGCAGAGCGAGAGAGAGGGAGAGAGGGAAAGGGCCAAACACTCTTTAAAAAGAATTAAATCAGAAGTTAATTCTTGGTTTGGGCTGCTGGCACAGCTGGCAGAATCAACTCCCAAGTTGATCCTTTGAGGCTGGCGCATTGAATGGGGGCTGTTGCTGAAGAATTAACTTTCGAGTTATTCTTATTCAACTCTTGTTTTCAGTCTCTTCCTTGGGTATGCCCCCCTAAGTTAAGGATTCACTCATGAATCGTGCGCCTAAACAGGCAAATCTTGTATGTCCCAATACAATCACGAAACAAAACTTACTACAGTTGAGGCAAAGCAAACTCGATGAAGTGCCCCAAAGAAAAACTCAGCGAGCAGCTAGCAGTAGCACACAAACACACAGCACACGAACTAGAACTGAACATCTGGATCAAAATCAAGCAAAAGGCACAAGTATGTAAGTAAAGAAATAGAGATCATGTTTTCTACCTGAACTGACACAAACTCACAAGCAACAACCTCCTGTTCAAACAAATCAACATCCATGAACGCAATCGCATCTTAAACAAACACAAGTTGGCTCCGCACACAACCAATCACGAATGATGAAGCCCCAAGAAGGAGGCACAAACCGCAACATGTCACAAGGGCTGTGGAAAAAACAATTGCCAAAGTCCTTTCTCCTTCTCTCCACTACCAATGCCCAAGTGCCTGCACGATAGTTGGTGTTGCCCACGTAGGACAGCTCGACTATCTGGCAGCAGAATTCATCAGGTGCCAGCGTTCATGCTGCACCAAGTGGTATCACCTCACCTTTCCGTCGATTCACCAAGGTCAGTTGCAACCGTCTCAAGTTCAGTCTGATTGGTCCCAAAACTCAAAGGATGGGAAGGCGCCAAATGTGTCGCCAGCAGCTGAAGCGCATCGAACTGGCCTGAAGCGCAGAGGATTGGAAGGATGAAGGAACATGCGTTGACTGATTGGAGACGGCCAGGTATCATGCTCTTAGGACATCTACCAAAAAAAACAGCTTCTTTTCGTGGCAGCTGTTACAAAGAACAGGCTGGTTTTCCTTGATTCCCAATTCGACCTGCGGAGGGAACGAAAGCCAGTAGGAAGGTCCGTCCAGGTACAGAGAATGTGCCCTTCTATACTATAGGGATCCCGTTGCCAACACATCTTGCCTCAGAGCTGAGATGTGGTGTTCTGAGTCTGCAAAAGAGCCAAATCTAAAGAGCCCAAAGGGCTGACTTCGCCAAATCTTCATTCCATATCATTCCATCAGTGTCTCTCACTTTGGTTGACATGATGACTTCCAAATTCATTGCAAAGTGGCAGTGCTGCGCAGCTGTGGTATATGCCTGTCGGGCAGCAAGGTCAGAAGCCACCAGACCTGGTGACCAGACCTTGTGCTAAGTGAAGTCCTTCTATTTCAAGATCCACAGAAAACTCTTGAAAGACATACTGAAGTTGACATCAAAACAATGGGGACCTGAGATGATGACCACACAGTGCAAGCAGGGCTGCTGGGCTGCATTTTTGAAGAAAACAGTTGCAAGATGTTGCAAGGGTCCAAAAGCAACGGACTCGAAATACCTCAAGGATCCAAAGTTCATGTCAACAGGATAAAACACTGTCCAAAGAAGGTTCTGAGGCAGAACTCAAGCAGAAAAATGTTGTGAGGATCACCAACACTGACCATGTGCGCAGCAAATTCACATTAACCTTTGCAAAGTCTTCAAAACCCATTATTGTTGTTTCTTTTGGCCCGCTCCCCCCTCCCTACTAGAAGCGAACCCTTGCGAATCGTTTCACTGGGAATCGTTTCATTGGGAATCGTTTCACCTGTAGTAACGAGAAGCTTTCACCTGTGTCTTCAGTGTCTTCTGTTCACTTCTTAGTAATAAAGCGTTCTTTCGATGTTGCACGATGTTGCGCGATGCGCAACATCTTTTCGTTTCAGCCAAGCTTGAAGAGTCTTTCCGGTCATCGCCCTGCCTGATACCAACAGTATTAGGAACTCAGCAAAACTTCGTTGCTCCAGTCGCACGGTATTGTCATTTTACTCACCTGTTTGCAACAATTCGCATGTTTCACTTCAATAACTGAACATGCAGCCACCATGGGCCATGAAAATAAGCTCATGCCCGCTTGGTGGCACCTTCCGGATGGACTCCAAGGTTTGCCTGCAAGCATTTCTACACGCATTGACTTAGCATCAGTATACCTGTTCTTCCGTTGTCTTTCGTTGTCTTCTATAGACCTTAAGACTTCTTGTCTTTTCTTGCATCTTCTTTCTCTTCTTTTCTCTTCTCTTTTCTCTGTTTTCCCTTCTCTTCTCTCTTCTCTTTCCCTTCTCTTCTTTCTTCTCTTCTCTCTTCTCTTCTCTCTTCTCTTTTCTCTTCTCTTTTCCTTCCTTCGTTCCGTCCTTCCTTGCTGTCTTCCTTCCTGTCTTCCTACAAGCCAACAGAATTTCAGATAATTCAGTTTCTGGGTTGCTTTTCAATGCAGGTGTGATACATTTAGCATGAACCACATGTGCACAACTCGAGCAAGCTCAGACCCTGCAACTTGAAGGAACATGTGACTTGCAACTCCACCCAACACTCCCTGCCTGTCGTGCAAGTGGTCCAAAAGTAGAGCCCTCGGATGGCAGCACAAACCACCAAACATGTAGTGAATCAACTTGAGATCAGTGGAAATGCTGAGTCCAGCAGCAAAGATGCACAGTCGCCCCTTGCTGCACAGGAACACAGCAAACAGCCGTCCCTCCTGAGCATGTGATATGGAAAAATATATATTCCTTCAAAGATGTATATATCATATGAAAAATATATGTTTGTTTAGTGGGATAGTGTAAGGGATATCCTCTATGCTTCATCATGCTTCATCGATTCATCTCGCAGAGGTGATGCCGCGGTTCGGAGTCACCGTATGCCGCGGTTCGGGGTGAACACAACATGTGAAAACACACCTAGACACTGAGGTTGACACGTTGCAAGGATTTGAATGCACCTATATGATTCTCAACGTTTTTACATCTTTATGGCCTTTATACATCTAATATTTAAAAATATATATATATATTATCTGACTTGATCTAGATTAGATTCATTTCAACCCGTCCCACTCTTGCAAGGCCCAGTCGTTCAGTCCTCGCAGATCCACCGCCTAGCTGTGCTGACGCATCCTGCACTGACGCGTTTCATCGAAACTTGGCGGTCCATGTCGTGTTGGCCATCCATCTTTTAAATGTGGGCTGCAGTCTGGTTGCCCAAGAGTTGGCCAAGAGCATAGCTATTTGAAGCTTCCATGAATGTGAAGGATGGCTAATTGTCACTGGTCAAAGATATTGGGCCTCAAGGCTATTCACATCGCACCAAGCCACATTCCACGGCCACTTTGAGGGATATATTGAATATATCTGTCCACATAGCTACCCCATTCTGTGAAGTGGTCAACGAAGCTTTGGCACCTCCTTAGCTCACGAACCTGGTTAGGTGAAGAATCCTGGTATTCCAGAATTTGTTTAAGGGAAAATCTACAGGAAAACCGTAGTTTTGGGGATGAAAACATGGGTTGCAATTTTCCCTTAAACTAATTCATTGATGGTCACCTTTTCGATTCTCGCCTGCCCATTGTCTGTTGAGGTGTCTCCAATGGCCGCCGTCACAGCGATCGTGCCACCTGCACAGTCTGGACATCAAACATATTAAAACATCCTGATAGCTCGTGTGTTTCAGTAAAACATCTTGCACTGTATGAGATGATCAGAATCAGGACACGCCCGTCGGCGAGTTGCGATTATTCGTTTGAGTTTCGCTGGAGTTTTTCCATATGTTCATGTAGCATTTTGTTTCGAACTCAAAAGCACACCGGCGCGGATGTCCAGCGGCGAGAGCCACGGTTGCTGATGCGATAGGCAGCTGCAGTCACAGCATTCAAGAGGCTGCTCACCGAAACATTGACAAAAGTTGCATTCTCTGGCGGATGAGCCTCTGCGGGAAGAGGAATATATTCGATCCCCGTGAGTTTTGCCAAGTTTCGGTAGTACGCATAAGCAGAAACGTTACCACTCACTGCAGGAAGAAGCTCGATGACTACGGCTTCGGAGCCAAGCCACAGGAGATGGCTCAATCCGGCACCATGCACTCCCAGGAGTACATCACAAGAACTCACATTGGACATTTGTTCGCCCCAAGTGTCTGACCAACTGAAACTCAAAACACGAACATCTAAAAATTTGTTGCCGGCAGTGCAGCGCCCCAGTTGCTCCAGAATTTGCTGATGGTTCGCAAGAATACGATGCTCTGTACGATTCAAAAAGCACACCTCCATTGCACTTCCAGTGGAGGGGGCAGTTCCAGCGTTCAGCCCAACAAAATCAGAAACAAACTGCTGCATGAGGCTGAACTCAGGTCGAGCACACTGAAAATCAGCGTCCCAAGCTAAGTCCCACAGAAAACCACCATGGAACGGCACGACCAGTTCAGAAAAACCGCAAAGATCTTTCACGGCTGTTGGCCACAAGTGTTTCTGCCCAAGTATGTCCAGTTGCTTTTGGTGTGGTGCACCTGTAGCCAGCAAATAGGTTTGGCGGTCCCGCCAGAAAAGAGTGACGTCCGACCCCCGCGCTTGAAGAAACACCAACGACATCCAATATGGGTATATGTTCGCCAGTCTATGCCATGGGTTCCCCTTCCCGCCAAAGTCGTGGATACTCGGCATGATGAGGAGCACATGTCGTCCCTCCTCGTAGTTCTTGCACACCGGCCATGTGGTGGCAGCCTCGATGTGAAAGGCCCAGCGGAAGAATTGTTCTTTGAATCTATCTCCATGCTTCCTTGCCTCCGCTTCAAAACGATCGTAGGCCCCCTTCAACAGGTAACCGTAGCCAGCTCGGGATTGGTAGCTTCTCATTGTTCCCTGAAAGTGAGCCAAGCTGATGAATCCTGCACGTGGATCTGGATCTGATCGTTGGAGTAGCACTGCCAATACCACCAGGCCTTGTTTTGAACAAAGCACCTGTGCGTTGTCCTCCATCACTGCTAGGATACCTTGACTCCATTGCCAGCATGTCTTGGCCGCCTTGGCTGCGCCCAAATTCTGTGGAGCCCCAAGACATCTCGGAAGCGCGAGCCAGGTCTTTGAGGGTCCAGCTCTTTGGCACACCTTCCTGGCAGCTGCCAAACAATCACCTTCAGTCCCCTTCTCGTCCGCCAGGCCCTTCTGTGTAGAATTGGGGGAGACATTCCTTGCAGCGATGTTCGAAACGCGCAAGGAAGAACGCGACTCCCCCAAGGCTGCTGGGCTCGCTGGACTTCGAATCCCTGGACTTCCTGGTGAACGAAGCGAAAAAAACAACATGGCCAAGAAGAAGCCAAGGTTCACGTAAGCAACACGTCTGCAGATGCAAAGCCAAGGTCTTTTCTTGGGGATCCAACTGGGGGAGCCCCTGTCTGCGTCGAGACTCCGTCCTCCCTGCAAAGTCTGGAGTTCTTCATCCTCTGCACCAAGAATCGTGGGCATCAAGCCAAACGAGTCGTCTGACGCGATTCTTGGCCCATTAAACCAGGACTAGTTGCCGTCTACGTCGCTGGAGGGTTGCGGGAACTCAACGAGCGTTCTGGGTCCCATGGTTTTGTCCTTGCTGAAACATCGTAACCTGATCATGGAATGTATGAGGGGCTCTATGCCAAGATGTCAGCAGGTGACTCATAAAGAACAAGTCAGAAAAAGCAATGAACCAATATGGCTGGGCAATGATCATACAGCTGAAGGCGAGCAGGATTTACATCCTAGGCCTAGTCTCCTAGTGTTCTCGTCCTAGCATTCTTCTCCTGTTCCCAAAATTCCGATCTCTCTTCAGCCACCACGAGACAGCCCGGTCTGCCTAACGAGACCAGCGTCTCCAAGGCCTGAAGAAGCGGACGTTCTAACCAGTCACTCATGCAGGTGATCTGTGAGGATTGAGAATCATTGAGTATCTATATGTACCAGTATATTTATATAGATCTCAACTTGACTGGCTCACTACGGCTCAGCAATGGCTTGGAAGGAGAAAGAAGAAAAGCTCCTCATTCTGCACCACCAATATCACAGAAATAGAACTTGCGAAGCTAGGCATCATCCGTCATGCGAGTAGAAAAATGCAGCTATCGACCCCACCGCCACCTCCCATGATTATCATGATTTGATGGCCAGCCCAGCCTCCAAATTCCCGAGGCTCGCAGCTTTCTTCATGGCGGCTCCATCCTCGCGATTCAGCAGACTACAGGCCTGGCATCGAATGAAAAAAGCAGCCCCTTGCCCTCGCTCTTACTTGATCAAGTAGGTGCCTACTTAATTGAGGGCTGCGGCTAAGTTAGCTGCTAGGTAGGACACAGGATAGCTCACGCTTCAATGAAGCTCCTAGCCTGTCAAGCCTCGCGTCTGTAGAGGATTCGCTTCGTTTGGGTCTCAGTTCGTGTTCGTACCAGTCTCAATGATAACCCGACACAGTCAAACCAACCCAAATGACCATTTACAGCCACTGCTGTGTGAGAAACCAGGAGCCAGGTTACGAGAAGATGCCCCTGGCTCACCCACCGTCCGTCCAAGCACAACCAGTGCCAGGATGACCCAGCTGCGGACGAGGCGATTCAGCAGAACTCCGCAACCCTGGCGCAACCCGCTTGGCGACAAGAAAAACGACTCCCAGGTCCCAGGTGTCCAAAGATCCTCGAAGTGCCTCCAAGCTACCCTAGCGATGGCCTCCAACCTAGTAGCTCCTTGTTACTACTAGTAAGGCACTTGTTACTAGTGTCTTCATAAGCAAAGTCATGAAGACGTGATGATTGACAGCTCCTTAGAAAAAGCGACTTGAGGCCGAGGGTAGGTGACGAAAGCTAGCAGGGATGCATCCGTGTCAGTGGCGAAGCATACAGCGCCGTGCAGTGACAAAGGATTGGTGGGACATCAAGCGGAGTGAGGCAACTCTTTTTTCATAGGCATGGGGCTGTTGGAGGGATGGTTCACAAGGTCTCGCTCATGAGGTAAAACGTTGTGAACATGTAAGACACACGAACAGCAATGACACAGCCAACCTTAGCTTGTGAATCTGTTGAATCTGTTGCATCGTATCCCAAAACCTCCACGGAGGAGTTGAACCAAAGTGGATGCCATAAGAGGTGTCCAAGAGGTGTCCCAGAGGCGTCCCAGGGGGGAGTTGAAGTTTTCACGTGATGCGGCGATCTTGAGGATTCCAGCCCCTCACTTGCTAAAGCAAGGACGACTCCAGCTAGCTGCTGCTAGCTTTCGTGACCTGTGACCATGGCTGCAAAAAACACATGTGAAGAAACACAACAAAACACCCTGTTTTCATCTGTTTTCGGTATTTTCGACCTGCTTTGGATCTCTGTTGTCCCTGTGGTGTCTGTCAAGTAGTCCAGGAGTTTGTCTGTGGAGAGTTTGGCAGCATGCCATGATCGGTTCGGTTAGTCACAGCATCAAAACAAAGTGTGATCTTTCAAGCTAAGGTTTGACGTGGCGGCCTTTAGATTCAAGTGATCTTAACTTTGCCAGCCAAGAGCTGTCAGCATCTTTTGTCTCTTTGTCTATGGTTTCGGCGAAATCTAGTGCTTCCCTAAGCACATGCCTAGGATGGCTGGGCCCCCCAGCCAGCAGGTTTCATGCAGGTTCCCTATCCCACGTCTGCACTGTGGCTACTTTTCCCCGGATTGTGATGGATGCCCGTATGTATGTCTCATGTACTTCTCTACCAGTCAAGAGATTATATGTTCAAACCATGTTCTGTAAACAAAACAATACAACAGAAGCATGTATTGTCAACTTGCTGCGTATTGGTCCATCTTCTCATGTTCTGTAAACAAAAAAATACAAGATATACAAGACCATCCGACTTGCTGCGTTGATCACGTCGTTTTGATCACCACGTCTCAGACGCGGCAGAGGTTTTTTCGTCGTAGTCGGAATCCGAACAAAAAATATTCTTCGGGTCGCCGGTCCGACATTTTACACACACTGCATATTGTCTGAAGCACACAAAAGCAAATCTTTGTGAAATGCATGTTGCATATGTATTTTTAAAAATGGCGGGTCAGGTCCTTTTGATCTGCAAGATCTTCGCAAACTCGGCCAATACCAAACAAGACCACGACAAAAGCAACCATGCCTGGCCTCGCCGCGCTCGATGGCCGCCAGCAAAAGGGTGTGAAAGCCCTTCCGAAGCAAAAGTGCTACAACGGAGTGATCCGATGATGTGCGAGCCTGATAGTCTTCATCCAATCCAATGGCCAAGTGTCAGTCCAGATGCTAGTTCTGGACTGTCCTAGATTCTAGATCAATACCAGTCCAGCAGGTGAACAATCCCACCAGTCCAGTGGTGCCCTAGGCCTCTGCACCAAGGCCTCTTAGCTGCCTTCCCTTGGTGCACGGATCAGGATCAGACTGTAAAAATATGTAAAAATCAAAAGCACCCTCACTTGAATTGCGCCGCAGTCACCAACAACTTTACACCGTCGCCAAGGGCAAGACTTCCCCTTCCTTCTCAATGATTTCGAGACAACTTTGCACCGAGTTGGAGGTCTTGAGCTCCAAAGTCTCCTCTGGTTTGCCAATCGAAAGGTTGCACGGTCTATGCTCACAGCCCTCAGCCCTATCTGTTCGGAAAGCAACTCATCAGACCGTGCAACAGGTTCTTCGTTTGGCCGCCTCCGGCAACTCATCAGGTTCTTCACAGAGCCTCGGTATAGAAAGTTGTGATGTTTGGAAACGGCGCCAGGCAGACCGAACAAATCAATGACTCTTTAAACGTTAAACGACTGTGCTTACTAGTAAAACCACACTACAAACTACCACCAAACTGAGCTCATCAAGGTAATCCTCAAGGATTGATGCACATGTTTTTTCATGTTGAGAAATCTTCTGAGGTTCATGTGTCCACCTGCGTTACAAAAACTCTTAGGTTCATGCCCTTCACTCGAAATCTGCATTGCACCCGGCCTCATCTTGCTGTCGCATGCACTCGGCCGTGATTGCGTTGGCGCCTGACAGACCGGTAGAGTCTTGGGATGGCCCTCGTCTTCAGCGCCGCGTGCAAACGTATGGAAAGGAGTCATGGCCGACAGCCAAAAGAAGACAAAGAGACAAGAAGCGGCAAGACAAGGAAAGACTCTTCTGCTCGAGGGTTAACGAAGGTTGACCTGGCAATTGCACGGTACAATTCCACTGGCAAAACCCAAACCTCAAGAGTGCCCCAGATCTATGGCCAATGGCGAGTTGAAGTAGATAGATCTTTCAAAGAGACAAGCGGAGAAGTGAATGATAGGCAGGTGACAAATAATGAAAGGTCACAAAACGACTACCAAAGGCAGCCAGGAGAATATATAGGTAGCGACCCACGGTGACCCACGAGATCTTCAAGGAAACAAAGCCTTGGCCACTGGCACATGTTGGCATGTATGATAGGAACAAGAATCGCAATGAGGTTTGAGTCACACCAACTATCCTCGTGGCACCTCCTGAGGCTCTGCCTCCGCCGCTTCCGCTGCCTCCGCCTGGGCACACACAGTCATGGCTAGTTGGAGCCAAGGTGATCAGACTAATGGCCAGTCGTCTCACCTCAACCGCTGGATAAATGATGCATCTATCATCCATCCCACCCAGCAATCCACTGCAGGCTGCCTCTATCAAAGCCATGGCTGCAAGTTTTGCTTCCATGAGGCTGTACTGTTCCTCTGAGACTGGAACGCTTTGGCGATACGCCTTCTCCAGTTTTTCGGGGTCTTCCTTTAGGGGGGGGTGTCATCTGGACCTGCGTTTGGTCTTGAGATTCCCTATAATAAACGTTCATTTCAGTTGGTTTACAAGTGGCATTGCAGGCAGGTTTGGAGAAGGATTCCGAAAAAGACTGGTACAACAGCAAGCGTCATCCAGTGAAGAGGTGGAATCGATAACAAAGAAAAACTAGCGGTTTAGGTTTAGGTTGATTCAAAGGTTGCTCTGGTTTCTCTCCCAATATCTCTCCCTGCATGTGATGTCTGAAATGTTCCACCTGCCCAATGGCCCGCTCCAATCTTCGGTGCCGCAGCTTTCACAGTGCTACACAGCCCGACATTTCGGCACAGCAAGTTTGTGCAAAGTACGACACCACCAGAAACAATCTGCTGATTTGCATAGTCAGCTCTTCAAAAAACCATCGACACAATCTGTGCTCCTCCTTCTCGTTGAATTCAGTTTGCCAATACTGCGCGGCCTCACTCACATCATCATTTCACTTTGCCATGCGACAAAAATCCTTTCCGCTCTCTGCAAGGTCTCTTTAGACATCTTCATGTTGAACCGTCTTAGCTGGGAGGTAGTTTATAGCTGTTTCTTTTCAGCTGGTCTTCCAACCTGACCTATTCATGCATATTCAAACCATTTACCACATTAACATTGAGATTTGGGGTGCGGGGTCCGGGACAAAATGACGTTCTGGGGTTGGATCATTTTGTCCATCTACTGTATTAGCATAGATTGATGCTGTGCACGATCATTCGTGTAGACATAGCCCACCATGCTTTGCAATTGAACAGTGTTCAAAACCTACTTTGCCTATCGTGCAAACACCAAAAAACAGCAGCCCTGGTCAGTCCATGCAGCCTTGGATTTCAAAGAACTTGCTCCATCGATGTCCAAATCCGAAAAGTGTCCCGATCTCTCCACGTCTTTGCTTCATAGACGTGCTCTCGTGGTTCGTTTGACGGGCCAAGCAGTTGCCAAACCACCTGGGACCTGTAGAGGAAAAGGATCATCGAACGGGCCACGCCATCCACTTCCATGACAGTTTCAGGGACTGTAATACTTGCTGGTTTTCTGCCAAGTTTGACCTTCTCTCGGTCCTCAACACAACACCACGCCCGATAACGACCTCGCGTTGCCGCTGCTCTTCTTCTTGCGCATCCTCTCCGGCTGATGCCGCTCGGAGTGCAAGTCAAACTGAAGATAGTTGATGCTCTTGAGTCCAACATGATTCACCTTACTCTAATCTGTTGTGGCGGGATTTAGGCATTTGGTCTATAGTCAATGTCCAAGATGCAGGCCATGCTTGAAAGGTAACGGGTTGGAGAAATACGTACTGACACCTGGAAGCCTGTAACTGCAAGCATGTGCGTGCTTGCAAACGACCGAAATCTAGAGTTGCCACATCTGCTGAAGCCTGGAGCTTCTGCTTCAGATCTGCACAAACCGAGAGCCTTGACAAATACCGGCAGGGACGTGAAGGATCTCAAAGGCATTGCCAAGCGCTATCTGTTTGATAAAAAAAGACAACAACGAAATACATCCAGTATTGACTTATTACATGTGAGCGTCTGTCGAAACGTCTTGCTAACAAAAAGGACATTGTTTAGCGAGGCTATCGCTTTTGAAGGAGGCCTGTCGCTTTTTCAGGCCCCGGCCACACTTTCGAAGTAGCTGAACATATCCCAAAAACTGTGGCTTGGATGGTTATACAATAATGATATATTATTTAATGGTTTGATGGTTGAGCCACATTCCCCAGATCCGCGTCCGCTCTTTGCGCCATTGATCATCACAGGTTTGATGGTTTAGCATGGTTTAGCTCATTTCACACAAGCCTTTGGCTGTCCCCTCTCATGCCTGGCATTGCTTTGCTGCCGCTCAGCATGTAGTTGGCTCTGGAGCCATTGGACCTGGCCGTTTCTAGGCCTTGGTCCAGCGCCCTTGGCGTCACCTGATGTCATTTACAGTAAGGCCCGCCCTTACTTAATTAAGTAGGTGCCTACTTGATGAAGTAAGGGAGCAAGCTCCAAGCTACTAAGCTTCTATAACTGGATGCAGGATAGCCCTACTAATAGCAATGGCCTTCAACCTAAGGGCGATGGTCTCCAACCTAAGAGCGATGGCCTTCAACCTATATAATATATTTGAGCACCTTATGTCACCTTATGCAAATGCTGCCAGATGTTTCGGATCTTTGTGGTCGAGTCGAAAGTGATTGATCTGAAGGCCTCCTCTTGCAGAAGTTTTGTCTCATCATCTCCCCTCTGCACAGCAGCCTCAGCTTGGATGCCAGTGCCATAAATGAACAAAGCAGGCGGTGTTTGATATCATGCTGCGACAACTCTTTACCCTGTTCATCAGGCTTTGCAGCAAAAAATTAACGAGTTTCAGACCTCAACTGCTTGGCTCACCTCTCAGGCAAAGGAGGGGCGATAATTCAAGTGCACACGACAGGAAGTCAAGATGTCAAACACCTAAACAAAGCACAGATCAAAGGACAAGGTCAGCTACTAGGAACAAATGGCATCGCTATTAGGAGCAAGAAACTACTACAAGTAGTAGCTCCTGGCATTGTATTTTCATATACTGATACTACTAGTGACAAGAAGCTTTAAGGGCATCACATCAGCCGTTCCGAAGCGTTCGGCGGCGGCGGCTTGCTCGCTGCGCCTCCACCTCCAACTCCGCGCCGAGGCGCCGAAGCCGCTCTGCCAAGCCAAGGGCGCCAAGGGCCATGGGGAGGCCGGGGAGGGCGAAAGGCTGGGATGACACCAGAGATGACGGACGGGATTGACATGGGAATTTCTAATGAGAATTGACACCAGATGAGTATAGGATGCCCCAAAAAGGATCAGATACGGAGTTGCATTTATTTGCCGTGCAGTGGCTTGCAGACCATTCAATCATCAGAAAACCGTTGGATCAAGCAGGTGATAATGACCATGATGTTGCTGGTGCATCCAACAGTTGCTTTCCGGTCTCTCCCGTCTAAAGGCCCACCCAAGATTTAATTAAGCCAAGGCTGCAGTCTGAAGGCCTAAATCGAGCGGAAACTAGCGAAGCAGCTCCTCACACTGCCGACCAAGAGGACAACTGTTGCTGTAAAGCGCAGAAAGGCGGATGGTGCAATCATGGCTAAAAACTCGCCGCTAGCCATGGTACACATGCGCATCTGTCACCGGCTGCAGCAGCTGCAGCATTTTTTTTCCTAGAGCTCAGTCGGATCGACACCAGTCCGCCAACCTGAAAACTCGACCAGTCGGATGGGATGGATTCGCTTGATCAAAAGTTCCCGCCTGGCATCCGCATGCGAACCCTCTTGGCAGCTGCCAATGTTCTGCTGATAGCCAGCCTCGGCGACCCTCCATGTGTTGTCTCAAGTCTGAAGAAGTCTTCCTCCATCACTTCGAAGATTGGAGATCATGAAAGTGCGAATGTTACTGGAATGATTTCATTATTCGGGATCCTCTTAGGATGTCAGATTTGTCAGATTTATGAGCCCCATTCAATGAAAGTGACAGGATGTTGATGAAACACACGCGAATGTTGGTGGACAGGATGTTCTGCAAAAAAACATGTATGCCATGCAAACACGCGCCATGCGGTACTTATGAAGAACGAGCCATGACACCTTCACCCACCGGTCTCTTCGTGAGAGAGACCCACCGGTCACATCTTCGGCCCCCGACAGCAGCGAGGCCTCGTCTTCTGGGCATGTGCGTACCTAGGGGGGAAAGTAGACAAGTAGACCAAGCAAAAACGGTTTGAACATGAACATGGCGAAAGGACTCCACACGGAAGGACTCTGTTGGAAAGAGAAGAGTTTCCAAATGTCTGCAGTGCAACATAACAGGAGCTATGTCAACCTACCTACCTACCTACCTGAAGTCCACCTAAATTTGCTCTGTCCAAAGAAAGCCAACCATTCTCCTGATCTCTCCTGAGTATGTCAATGACGCGGCGTAACTGGCGTGTCTTACCCATGACCCAGCGCAAAAAGTCCGTCCATGATGTCACCAGCTCTTCGTCCTGTCTCTCAGTCCTCTACATGTGTCGTTGATCCATGGACCTCAGCGACACTTGGCTCGCTCGTTTAGGAAGCTTCGATGGCCAAACGGCACCAGAACCGCTTTTTTCTCTGACGCCATCAATGATTGCTCCGAAACCATTTGGTCTTGAGTCAACGACCACTGGCTGGAGTCGGCAATCTTGTCCAACTTCCCAAATCATCACCTTTGTGTCTCAACTCTGAAGAGTGGCTCCACAGCTCACATGAGCTAGTGATTCATCAAACATGATGTCCATGGCAAAAGATCAGTTTCAAGCAGCAGCCAGGTAGACACAACATGGACATAGCTAGACAGGACGGCGTTACTTTTCATCTCACGGTCGACTCGGTTTCCTCATTGCCTCATCAAATGAAAAGACTCCAATCGAAAGCTTTGTCAGCAAAGCTGGAGAACTCCAGGCCCTGTCGGCCACTCGCCAGACACTCTTGACGAGTCGTCTAAGTCCAAAAGCCCGATCTGGGTTGCCCCCGCCCCTGCCAGACCCTCCTGGAGTGTGTGGTTGGTTTTCAAGCTCATGGTGGTCACCTTGCTCGGAAAGTGCAGGAGCACTGGCCAATTGGATGAAACAGGTGTTCTTGCTGACCGCTCCCTGGTGCGAACAAACGAGTCTCATACGCCATTGAAGCCGATGCTTGCTCCTCATCCAACTGCTTTCCAATCATCTGAACAGCAACTTTAGACAAATGCTTTGAAACGCCTTGTAAAGTGGCACTGATGTTGCTCCTCCTGGCACATCCACCGCGTCCAGCGCAGGATTCAAGGGCCAATGCTTCTGGACCTCAAACGACTGCGGAGCAGCTCAGAATCCTCCAAGTGATCCATCGTGCCAAAAGGAACCGATATGCCATTCCCATGGGATATGCAAGCGATATGCCATTCCCGGGTGTCAGTGGATGACGAATGATTATTCTACAGATGTGGATGACGATTTCAGGAACCCCCTCGAGGATCGGACCAAGTCTTCATATGTGGTCCACTCTCCACTGCGGCTATGACGGCCTGACCGTCATAAGGTCGTTTTGGGCCGAGCTTCTCGAATCTCTGGCGCAAGAACTGAACAGTTTCACGTCCTTTTCTTGTCTGCAAAAAGGTTCTAGTTGCACATAATCACATAGTTGGGGCGTGTTTGTGCTTTATTGAAATGTCTTCCTTGAGTTCTTCCTTGCAAAGAGTGGCTTCTCAACACCACCCAGCCCACCGCCCCGCCGTAAAAGGGCACGCCCATCGTGAGCTGCTGCGCTGGAAGGATTCCTTTCCTGAGTTTGACTGTGGGAAGCCTACACAAAAAAACAAGGTTTACACAAAACAGACACAAACAATACATTTCTAGAGAGTGAAGTCAATCTGTCTGTCTCTCCAATACGATAACGACTACTCTTCCTCACGATGGCTGCAGGCTGGTGAACCTTCCCAGCCTGGACTTACCCCAATGGATCCCAAATTGATGCGCCACAAAAGTATCAGACCCAAACTGAGGACAGTGACGTTCACTAGATCTAACGGTTTCTGGCTTTTGTCGTGCTAAAACTTGCGACAGGGTCGTTTCCTCGTTGTAATAAATTCGTCTGTGTTCTTCCCTCACCGAGTCACTGAAGAACAGGTGTCGTGCGTGTTCTCTAAGCTCGTCGCCCCTGGTCGGCGCTTTTCCTCCCATACTCCAGGGAACTGTGATGCGTTCCACCTGCCCGGTACAGACGCTGGGGCCGGCCGTGTTCTTCAGCGAGCGAGTATGCTTCGCGGCTGCGGGGCTGTGTCTCCCGCCTTGGTCATAGCTCATCATGTGGAGCAAATCGGCTTGCCTACAGGCGAGAGCATGAGACGTGACACATCACATGATCCGGAAACAGGTCTGACCTCATTGGAAACATGACATGTCAGCAAGTTCAGGGTCAGAAAAAAACACCTATGAATCGCCTGAATTTCGGAACTTGCATGTTCGCAGCTTCCTGTTTCCAACAAGTAGGTGGTGGCCGGCTATTCCATCAGGTACATCTGCCAAGCGCCTGGCTCAGCAATACCTGGCTCCAGGAACAATGGAGCGGCAAAAGCATGCAAAAGGAGGGTACTGGGCAGCAACACCAAGCATGTTGGCCAGGCCAAAACTACCAAGGAACATCAAGAAGAGAGAGAAGGAGTATTCCGCTTTAACTCTTCAATTATTGCTACTTGACCTCAGCAACACAGCAAGCTTTGCCATGGTCTCGAAGCAACTGCTCCTGACGACTGTCCGGGTAGTACGCCATGGTGATGGCCTCGCTCACGACCATGCAAACAAACATGAGTGCCAAGCAACCCGTTACAAGATACAGCATTCTGAAGAGATTGACTGTCATCAAACCTTTCGCAGGTGATGTTTCACTTGCTGCCCTCTTTGGCAACTGTTTGGCTTACCGTTCCCTCTGTTCTGCCTTGTTGGCCCAACCTTTGTCTACGTACATCTGTCTGGTCTCAAACCTGGATGCCAGCGCTGAATCGCAGTGAAAGCCAGTTCAGTGAGGTGGATGTGCGTTTGTGCACACTGCGTTCGAGAACTTCGATCGAGTACAGTGCCCCAGAGTAAGAGAAACATGCTGGCAGGAAAAACTTTTGGCACACGTTCTGGAAAAGTGTTTATGTTGTTCTTCGACAAGTGCAGCTTTGCATTCACAAAAAATCATGCGATCCTCTTGCAAGAGCCAGTGATCTTCGACCAAAATCCATGCCTGTTGGGTGTTCTAGTGAGGTCCAGACACAAGCTTTGAAAGGCCTTCATAATCAGCCTTCACCTGCCAGTGCTGCGGAGTGCTGCACTCTCCCGTCGAGGCTCTGAGTTTCCAAGCTACAAAATGGTGGCCTTCGTATGGTCAACTTTCTACCAGTCCCCTATGGAACAAATCTGATAGGAGGCTAAACTATAGGCTACCTTTAGCAGCTCAGCAAAAAATGGCGAAACTATGGCCACGCGGCTACACTTGATGGCTGGGCTCAGGCAAACGGTGGGCCACTCCCCTCGTTCCCGGTGGCCTCGCTTTCGGCTAAGTAGCCTTGTCCAAAGCCTTGCCGATCAGTGAAATCGGTCGCATCCATCGTTCAGGTGGCTGTGGGAACACCTAGCCTTTGCTTTGTTAGAGAGCAACAGAAGAAGAAGAAGGGATTTGGAAGACAACGAAACAAACCAGTTTACGCGAAAAAAACAACAGTTTACGCGAACGTAAGGGAGATCTTATGAGGGAGATTCCAAAAGTTCTCACAAACGTGTTCAAAGGTAAAGCTTGTACAGTATATATGGCTATATATGTACAGTATATAAATATATATATGGCATGCGATCGCTAGTGGAGCAAAGCCACGGTAGCCAGGATATTTCCAGTTGTAGTCCACCTCAGCTTGACATTTCTTGTGAGATGCTTGGCATGTCCATCGTTTCTTCACCTGACTCATGTCTCACCAAGTTGAAGATGACCACCAGGCACCCTGATTTCTCAGTGCCTAAGTGCGCTTCCCTCAGCCTATCAGATTCGTCTTCATCGTCTTCGTCACTCTGAGAGTCCCAACTCCGTCAAGATCATACTTCTCCATGAACTCCCCCAGCTCCTGTCGAACCAAGCGTCGTTTCATCGTGCACGCATTTCTGCGTGTCGTATTTCTGCGTCGTCGGGACATGTGCTGTCCCGTTGTCGGATCGTCGGATGGACGACAAAACGAATGCGGCGAACGAGGATCTTTGACTCCAGTCAATCCCTCTGACGGTCTTGGCTTTGATGCAAGCTGAAGGGCTTCAGGTCATGTGCAGAAAACAAAATGAAGTTCCACTCGCACCACCCTTTTGAAACAAGTCTCAGTGTGTCTGACATCAAACTGCTTCAGGCAGCACCGTGACACCTCACTGAGACGACAGGAACGCACCACGTGATGTGAAGAGCACAAGTATGGCAATCGATAACGTTATTCCTAAGGACTAGTAAGGTGCTACTGAAATCGGCTGGTCCGGGTCTGCCGGAGAGTCTGCTGTCCAAAGGATGTGTTTATCCGTCTGAATCATCTTCACTTCTGCTTGTGATGCTTGTCCAAGGGGAGCTGTGACATAAGGTGGGTGAAGAAAAGGCAATCAAAACATCTTTACAAACAAGCAACTACTGTACACATATATATAATATATGTTTATAGTATAAATATATTATATATATATCTATATTTATTACTGCGGACTTTTCCTGAAAGCTAAAAGGCCTGCGTTCACTTTTTGATTTGTGCGGTCATCATGACTGCACATGTTGGGACATCATCTGGAATGCTTTGTTTCCGCACGCCTCCTTGAGACGCGGAGCATAGCTTTTTTTTTTAGCTCCATGTCTCATCCTTAAAATCTCAGGGCTGAACTATCAAGGAAATCTGTGTGGAAGGCGATTTTGGCATCCAGACCTTCGGTCTGTTCACCTCTCCTCACAGCTTCCAAATACTGTCGTTCCAACAGCGCTATATGCTGCTTTGCCCTCCGTAGCGGTCTAGGTCTCCCAAATCTTTGTATCCAGCTTTCTTGATCCATTCTCTTGTACGTTCACCTTCAACTGGATCTTCCATGGGAACGTCCATCATCACCGTCTCTTGGCTTGACTGGCTAGCACCTTCAACTCTTGGAGCTTTGGGAACTGGAGGATGTGATTCCTCCTCTTCTTTCTCACTTTCCGGCTACCTCGACTCTAAGTTCCCTGTGGGCAATCTCCCCGCTGTCAAGTAGAACCATCGCCACATCACCTGACAGCATCTCTTCTCCCGGACTTGCTGGGCCTGGGGGTCCAAGCAATGTGCTGCCTTGCCTCAATCGAAGGAAATCCACACTGCCTGGAGAGCGTTCATGCTGCTGCAACAAATACTCTTTCGCCTGTTCTTTCAATCTTCGCTTGTCGAAATTCCTGTTGGACTTCTGGAGATAGTCCCAATGCTTCCATTCACCTTCTTCGAATTCAGCCTGGTCAACATAGCCTTCGTTCTTGACAAGGCCTCGATGGATCTTCTGCCTGTACATCTTCAACTTGTCGCTCTTTTCATGTAGTTCCGCGCTAGAAGTTTCAATTCGAACATTGTATATCTCCAGCTTATCCTGCACACTTGCCGCATTTCTCTCAAGGCTTTCAACGCGCTGCCACATCTTGTAAATGAGACATGCTGCTGTTACCAAAAGAATCACCAGCAAGAACATAAGACATGTAATGCATGGAAAAGTCGACCTCTCAACCTTCTCCTCAATGCCGTGACCGGCCACTTGCTCAAGGCCCTCAAGCAAAAGAATTCTGTTCAACATCTTGGCCAACTTGGTGAGTTGGCCTCTGTTCGCTGAACTGGCTGCCATTCTCTCACGCTCATCCTCTCCAATCCGTTCATGCCTTGCTGTGAAAATATTGCACCAGTAAAGGATCAACTGAATACGAGCTCCTGCCCACTGCTTTGACTTTCAGCTCATCTTGCGCCACCAGGTCTTGAATCCACAACAATTTCCCTGAAATGCGTCGCAGTTTACCTGGCCCTCGTCTGTGGCAAAGATGAAGGGCTGCTGAATCGTCCACCAAACAGTGATGCACCACGGCTTCATCTACCAAGAACTCTATGCATCTCCTTAGGTATACGCCATCTGCTGCACTCCCAACCAATGCATTGAGCTCTGCTTCTGCACTGCTGAGGCTTACTGACTTCTGCCCTCTCGAACTTGCAAAAATCTGCTCCATTCAGCATGTGGATTGCTGAGGATCTTCTTTGGGTTTTGAACCACTCCAGCCACTGTCTGAGTAGGTCTCGAGCAACCATCCTGAGACCTCTGTTCGAGTAGTCAATCCATGGCCTGGCTCTCCGACCTCCAAGTGACTGTACTGACCGAGAGTTGTCTTCAAAAATCCGATCAACTTGCCTAACTTCTTCAGACTTGCTTCCGTCGGACAAGCCATGTTTCCAGCTAGCTCTTTGGCCGTGAAGGCAATGTCTACCCTTTCTTGTGCTAGGTAGATGCCACAGCCTACCAATGACCGGTAGAGCCCTGCAAGATGTTCTCCAAGTGGCGTTGTTTCGTCTGGCTCTAAAATCTCTTGACCACATGGCAACTTCTGCAGCTTTGCTCTCCCCAGCTCTTTCTCGTAGGCATCAACCATGTCTTCAGCATACTTGCCTGGATAGATGCGCAAGCCCTCTGTTGTCAACTCACATGTTCGCCGCAAGAACTGAAATGCGTCGCCCACCCTTTTCACATGCTGTTCAGAGATCTCAAACTGAGTTCTCAGCTTTGGCAAAAACTCCTCCTGAACAAAGCTTTCTTTTCCCACATACATCACATCGTCAACGTGAATCAACAAGGCCATGTCTTTGCACCTGCCAAGGCATGGATTTTCCTTGCTGAACTCGAAGCTTTGCTCCTTCTTCAACCATGAAGTCAGATGATCGAACCATGCTTTGGCTCCAATACGTTGGCCTGGAAGGTTCTTGTGAGGACTGCAAAATGTCCGGATGATGTGCTCACTTGAGTTGGGACTTCCTGGTCCACTTGCAGAAAGGCATCCTTAATGTCAAGCGAACCAAGGATGGGAAGATCTCCTCCTGTCTCTGCCTCCTTCTCCATGGACAATAAGATCACTGGGAGCAACCTCAGGGTCTGGCTCTATCGTTGGCATACTCACGCGCAACCAGTCTAGATCTCCTCAACCACATCTTCTCACCGGTATCTGGCCGTGATTTCATCCTCCAATCTCTCACAAACCTTGTGGTGAGATTCTTGTGGCCAGGGCTTCTCTTCTCAATCCGCTCCAACACCTTCATCCTCTGCAGTCTCTCTTCCTCCACTGCGTCTGCAAGGTCGTCGATCCATTTTGGAGGATCCGGAGGTACTCGATCAAGGTCAGCTGATGACCACAGTTCTTCTGGAAGTTGGTACTGTGATTCGTTCTTCACTCCTCAGCCTCCATCAACCAAGCCTCAATCTCTTCTTTGCTCAACACTTCGTCTTGGTGTGCGAAGACATCATCTCCCACTTGGGTTTCCATCACTCTTCTCTCTTGATGAGCTCCTTCACTTGACTTCATCCTTTTTGCCTCTGACGCAGTTGAGCCTTGGAGTTCATGGACTGGCTTGATCGCTGTCTGCTTGAACTTCTTGGCCTCCGGCTCTGGGCTGTCCATTGACTGCAAGGCCTTGAGCGGTGGTCCACGAGGTGTAGTGGGCATAAGTGGGACAGAAGGACCTGCTTGGTTCTTCATCTCGTCCAACTGAATGCTCTCCTGCTTCTCTGAGGTGTTTGGAGTGTCTTCAACCTCCACATTCTCCATCTCCTTTCTCTCTTCAAGGTTTCCAGCATAGGACCTGAGAAAGCTAACACTTCAAGAGCATCACGATCGTCCTCTGCAACCTGAACCACCTCCTCAAAGGGAAGCTTCATCATGGGGCCTTCAACTAATGACGCAAGCCGCTTTGAAGGAACTATACGGCCACTGAAGTTGGTCTGGAACTCCCATGAGAAAGCTGAGAATCCCTTAAAGCATGCTAAGTACTGGCTCCATGAATTCTGGACTCGACGAATGGACCTACTCAAGAAGACTCTGGAGCCATCTCCGACCACCCAATCGCTCTTGCCCAAACAAACTCCGATCTTCCACCTAGCATCGGCCTTGTAGCCTTGTTTGCGCTTGGTGTAAGCGAAGACAATCTCGCCGAGCCACGTCCAAACACCAGCTCATAACTTGTAGCGCCTTGCAGAACTTGAAATCTATTCAATGTCCATGCTGCATGTCGGCAACACCAAGTCCACAAAGGATGCTGGTTGTTGAACCTGAGCCCTGTCTCTTCAACTATGGCTTCCAACAGTGTTGCTGCAACTGCTCTGATGCGCTGGATTGCATTTTCCACCAATGCATTGCCCGCTGAATCATACAACTTCGTCGTCTTCGTGTGGGTTTGTAGCCCAAGTGCACTCCTTGCCGTCACCAGCAATTTGAGTATCTGGCGGGCTGTGTTGTCGGAGTAGTAGGTCACCTCCTGGTGCCCAAGCAACTGGGTGAATGCCATGAGTTCGTGAGCAATCCAATTCACCTGTGACTTGGACTTGGGAGGTAGTCCAAGCAGATACCCAGTTTCTGAGTCCACCGCTACCAGCCACAATGAGCCAGTCTCTTCTGGGACACCAGCTTGAGCTCCATCTCCCTCTTCTGGGTGTCCAAGCGGTCCGATGCCACTGGCCTTGGTGTACGCAAAGTCAAAAGAAATCACTGGTCCTCATTCGCGGGCATGACCAGTGCGGCGATGTTGATCTTGCTTTGCACGGTGCTTCACACATGAACTACACCATCCTCCAAAAGGAACATGAGTCAAGCTGTGTTTTCTCTTCTCCTCCCCCGTCAGTGCTTTGGTGATGAACTGTTCTTTCTCTCGAATTTTCTGGTACGAGCTGCCTTCATTCAACGTCAAGTTGAGGTGTGTCTTCAAAGGACCTCCAATAACCTTCAAAAGAACAGCTGCTTTCATGTCCCCTGCTAGCTTTCCTCCCAACTTTTCGTATTGGTTGAAGTGCTCTTCGAGCTTGAGGAGCTGGGGCAGAATGGATAGCTTCACGTTGAAGGGTGCATAGGACATGACAGGACATGATCCCTTGCAACAAAAAAAGTTCATCGTCCTGTTCCTCGCCTGTG